CAGCCTTTCCCCACAGTTGAAACCCTCAAGCCCCAGCAACATCCTTGTAAATCTTTTCTACACCCTCTCAAGTTTAGCAACTCCTTCCTATAGCAAGGCGACCAGAATTGTATGCAGTATTTTAAAAGTGGCCTCACCAATGTCCTGTACAGCCACAACATGACCTCCCAACTCCTATCCACAATGCAGTGACCAATAAAGGCAGGCATGCCGAATGCCTTCTTCACCACTCTGTCTATCTGCAACTCCACTTTAAGGGAACTGTGCACCTCCACCTCCAGGGTTCTTGGTTCAGCTACACTCCCCAGGACCCTACCATTAACTGTATAAATCCTGCCCTGGTTTGAAGTATCAAAATACAGCACCTCATATTTATCTAAATTTAAATGCATCTGCCAATCCTCAGCCCATCGACCCATCTGATCGAGGTCCCATTGTGCTCGGACATAATCTTCTTCACTGTCCACTACACCACCGATTTTGGTGTCATCTGCAAACTTACTAACCATACTTCCTATCTTCACATCCAAATCATTTATATAAACAACAAAAAGCAGTGGATCCAGCACTGATCCTTGTGGCACACTGCTAGCACAGGCCTCCGAGTCGAAAAACAAGCCTCTACCACTCCCCGGAGATAGCAAGAACTGCAGATGCTGGAGTCAGAGACAACACAGTGTGGAGCTGGAGGAACACAACAGGCCAGGCAGCATCAGAGGAGTAGGAAAGTCGACAAATCGGGTTGGGACTCTTCTTCAGAACTGAAGAACTCAGAACTCCAGTTCTGAAGAAGGGTCCTGACCTGAAACATTGACTTTCCTGCTCCTTTGATGCTGCCTGACCTGCTGTGTTCCTCCAGCTCCACACTGTGTTGTCTCTACCACTACCCTCTGTCTCTTGTCTTCAAGCCAATTTTGTATCCAATTGGCTGGCTTCCCCTGGATCCCATGCGTCTACCATGCGGAACTATAATTCACTGTTGCTTTCTCCATAGCAGTACCTCAGCGAGTCAGCATTATTTTGCCAACCAATCATCACTCCTTTCTCCTTTAGTCTAACTTACGATTGTTTGACAGTTGGCATTTTTATGTTTTCTCTGATGAATGCAAGATGAAATGCTTCAGCAACATTCAAGCAATTTTCAACTTTCAGTATTCAAGTTCTGCACTAACAAGTAATTGTTAAATGCAAAAATTAATACAAAGGTGAAGCCTGGCCTAATCATACCAGTTTGTTGCTTCAAGCAGCAAACACCGAAGCTAAAACAACATCACAGAGCAGCAATTCAAGAAGGCTGTTCATCTCCACCTTCTCAAGGAAATTAGGAATAGACAATAAATACTGGCCTTGCCAGCAATGTGCACATCCTATGAATTAGGACATATGTGTGTGTAAAAAAAAAATCCAAAACCCAGATTTTAAGCCTCCATGCCTGATAGGACCTGGGCATCTGAAGAGTTAAAATTCTTGCGGAGATCTACTTGCCATATATTCACCAGCCTTGCAGCATGTCCTACTTTGACAAGCGTGGCTGGTAAGTTAAAGGTCTTGCAGAAAGCCAGTACAGCTCCATTGAAACTGAGTCAGAGTCTGATGAATTCATTAAGAACCCAGCTATATTTTTTACACATAGCATCCACATTTTTCCCACAGTGCAAACCCCACACAGCACATCAGGCCTGAAAGAATAGCAAGCTTAAAAGACGTCCAATGTAGCAAGTCCTTTTCTTTTGTTTTGGAAGAGTTACAAGTGATCAGAAAAAATGCTCTTCCGTTCAAGAAACTATACCCCAAGCACAATCACTTATCTAAGCACCAGTTGTCTGTATTGCCTCAGTCTATTTCAGAGTTATACAGTTATATAGCCCAGGAAACAGACCTTTCAGTCCAACCAGTCCATGCTGACCATAATCCCAGTTTAAACTAGTCCCACCTGCCTACGCTTGGCCCGTGTCCTTCCAAACATTTCGTATTCATGTACTTATCTAAATGTCTTTCAAACATTGTAACTGTGCCTGTATGAACAACACATTTTGCAAGTTCGTTCCACACACGAACCACTCTGTGTAAAAAAGTCCCCTTCATGTCTTTTTAAAATCATTCTCCTGTCATCTTAAAAATATGCCCCCTAGTCTTCAAATCCCTCACCCTAGGAAAAAGACACCTGCCATTCACCTTATCTATACCCCTCATGATTTTATAAACCTCCTATGCTCCAGTGAAAACAGAGCCTATCCAGCCTCTCCTCATAACTCAAACCTTCCATTCCTGGTAACAACCTAGTAAATCTTTTCTGAATCCTCTCCAATTTAATATTATCCTTCCTATAAAAAGGCGACAAGAACAGGACACAGTACCTCAGAAGAGAGCTCACCAACATCTTGTACAACCTCAACATAACGTCCCAACTCCTATACTCAAAGTTCTGACCAATGAATGCAAGAGTGCAAAACACCTTCTTAACCACCCTGTCTATATTTGACCCAAACTTCAAAGAATTATGTACCTGAACCCCTAGGTCCTCTGTTCTACAACTCACCAAAGGCTTTACTTTTAATTGTACAAGTCCTGCTGTTGTTTGTTTTACCAAAATGCAATACTTTGTATTTATCCAAATTAAACTATATCTGCCACTCTTCAGCCCATTGACCCAATCAATCAAGATCTCTTTGTAATCTTCTTCTAACTACTATATCTCCAATTTTGGTATCATCTGCAAAGTACTAACCACACCTTCTATATTCTCATGTCAATCATTCCTATAAATGACTAACAAAAGTGGACCCAGCACTAATCCCTGTGGAACTGGTCCAAAAACGACCATCCACCATCGCTCTCTGTCTCCTGCCATTAAGCCAATTTTGTATCCAGTTGGTAAGATCACCCTGAATCCCATATGATCTAACTTTACTAATTAGTTTACCATGCCGAATCTTGTCAAAGGCTTTACCAAAGTCCAAATAAACAATGTTTACCACTCTGTCCTCATCAATCTTCTTGGTTACTTCCTCAAAAGGATCTAACAAGTTTGAGAAACATTATTTCCCTTGGGTCCGCAATTCAGACCATAATCTCTTGCTTTGCTTTCTTATTGTCTGCCATATTGGCACTATATTTGGAAGCAATTTATGTTTGAAGTATATAAATAAGTTCTAGGGGTTTAAATGGTCGAGGCTCCATGTCAATTAACCTGCACAAGGCTAATGATTGCCAAGTCCACATCATGTTCTCCCTTCACTCACATTTAAAATGGGGCTTAAATGACACCAAGCCATCTGTGCAGATCCATTATCTGAGAAACCTAAGTGCAGGTTCTATTATTTGGGCATTTCTATCAGTTGTGTATAAATTAGACTGTTTATAGTTGTATTCAGGCACAAAAACAGAAAAACAATTGAGGAATTCAAGAGAAACAGTATTTAAGCACAAAACCGAGGAAAGGATTAATATCCATTTAACCTCTAATGTGCTGAAATAACTCACAAATTACTTGATAGTAGAGTTGAGGAATAAAATCTCCTTTTGTCTTTAATGAGTGGTTATTGTTCACTACTGTTTAATGACCTTTCATATCACATTACAATAAGAACTATAAATTGGACCAAAATACATCTTACATTGGTACTGCCCTAAAAAAAACCTGAAACCAGATCTCTCAGGAGAAAATCTTCTTATCAACTTTCTATAAAGGGAACTTCTTAAGCATTACGTGACATTTTAGGAAGAACGTTATATTTTCATATCAGTGACTTTTATAAAGCAAGATGCATTATACAAGATGTAGAAGAACACTTCAAACTTTATGTTTTGAGATTCAGTGTTCACTTTAAAGATGTTTGCAATGTATCTGCATGTATTAGCAAGCAGTGGATTGTACACCAAACTTGCCTTCAGTCAGTTTTCATTTACTTATAGCAAAAGGTAAGCCATCCAATTATCATTAATAATTGCTTAAACACTGAAACGATATGGATATGAAACCCTTAACTATCATAAGTGAGCAAACAGCAATAGAGACAGCAAAGCTGATTAGAAAATAATTAACGGAATTTTTTTGAAAATCCAGGAATTCCAGCTTTATTGAGCAAAGGTAAATGTGCTGTAGAAGGTCATAATTAAGTGTCTAACCTCATGAATCATTTCCCTGACCCCTGTCCCAGTGCTTTATCATCCATCTCCGCCCATGTATGGCTGGAACCTTGATCTATGGTTTTGTTAACTTCAGTCTCGAATATTCCAATTTTATTTTGGCTGGTGTCATATCTTTCACACTATATGAACATTAAGCTCTTTAAAACTCTTCTGCCTGTATCCAACCCTTTCTCAAGCTTCATTCGTTCTGCTTGCTGACCTGAATTGGCTGCTGGTCCACAACACCTCGATTTTAAAATTCTTATCTCATGGTTCAAATTCTTCATGGCTTTGTTCCTCCCTATCTCTGTAAACTTCTCTGGGCTTACATTTTCCAAATAATTCTGATACTTCTAACTTTAGCCTTTTGTGTATCCTTTACATCTTTCAACTAACATTGTTGTCAGAGTTGTCAGCCATCTAGGCTCTAATCTCTGAAATTCCCTCCCTAAACTTTACTTTTCCAATAATCTCTTCTCCTCTAAAACCTATCTTCTTGATAAGCTTCTGGCTACTTTTCCTAATGTCATCTTGTTTGACTTGGTATCAATTTTCATCTGAGTGCACTCCTGGGAAGTGCTATGGAGTGCTGTCCTACCTTAAAGGTGTTAGATAAATGTAAGTTGTTGTTGTAAACTAACTGGAATAGTAACTAGCTAAAAATATCCAATGCTAATAATTGACTCAGTTGGGATTTTTAGTCCACTAGCTTTAGGTGTTTATCAGTGAGTTTTGTTTTATTTATTATAGCTCCTGCTAACCAAAACCACTTGGCATTTGCTTCAGGTGTAATACATTTTTTTTTGCTACAATATCCATGTTTGAAGTTGCTTTCAAGTGAGGCATGTGTCAATCATCCATTTTTGAAGTCACTGGACTTGAACTTGATCAGCATCCGGTTCCTTGTTTTCAGAAGTAGTATTAAGAGGGTCCATAGCTTCTTTATCTGTAGGTGTCTGTTCAACAGTATCTGTGTTATCATTGTTCAGTGATCCTACTTTATTAATTTTTTCTTTTTTAGGTTGTGAATAAAAGCCTTTAAGAAAGTCCATTTTCTGTGATAACATTCCCCTATCGAAGAGAGTTTTGGTCAGGTATGAAACGCTGAAGTTAATCAGCAAGCATGACACCATTGACAAAGTTTTGAATGGAAATGATTGGATATATATTGGTCCACTTGGAAATGTGATATCCAAATAACATCCAGCATAACAGATCAATGGTTGTAATCGTAGGTATGGTTCACCACCACTAATACGGAGAAAAATACCAAGGAAGTAACTAGCGAGGCAACCGTAAACATTGGTTCCCTTGATATAGAGTACGGATACCAATTGAGGAAAAAGCAGAACAAAGATAAGATCCGAGCTCAGATACCATAATCCGTAGACAGAAGTGGACATCCATGTCATTGCTGCTGCTATTGATCCAAACGTAACGATGCCTGCTCTCATTACCCACACCAGTTCATTATCTGTGGCCTGTAATGCGCATGAAGAGAAAAAAGGAAAAATAGTTGACTATTTTAATGTAGCAAGGTTAATGATTTCTAATGATTTTTAAAAAATATATTCATCGTTCGGTTTTCATAATATCCTGAAATCTATTGAGGTGAATGTGGTCAGATCTGTTACCTTGCCCACGTGGCCAATTTTCAAATGTGAACTTGGACAAAGGTTGTCAGAAGATTTATCATTTCAGAAATAACCAATACTTTAAGTATTTTTAATCAAACAGTTCAGGCATGTTTTGGCACATCTCTGGGGCAGGTGGGACTTGAACCCAGACCTTTTGGCCTAGACGTGGTGATGTTACTGTGTCGCAAGAGCTCTAACTAACCTTTTAAAGCATGCAGTCCTGAGTAAGAATCATTAAATGCCGATGAGTAATAGGATCCCTTAGGCTATTGTAGCATTAATACTGCCATTTTGCCTGAAGCTAGTTAACCTGGCACACAGAATCACATTCTTGCACTAGGTTTTACTAATAACTTCTAACATTTTCAAGCTAACTGGCCTGAAGTTTCCTGTTTTTCTGCCTCCATCCCCTTTTGAATAAAGGAGTTACATTTGCTTTTTCCCATTTAAAAGTAACTTCCCTGAATCTAATAAGGTTTGGAAAATTAAAACCAACACATCAACCATCTCACTAGCTACTTCTTATTAAGATCTTAGGATGAAATCCATCAGGACCTGGGATCTTGTCAACTTGCAATTCCAACAATTTACTCAGTACTGTTTTATTGGTGATTGCAGCTCCTCCCTCTCTTTCAATTCTTGATTTACAGCTATTTCTGGGATGTTACTTGTATCCTCTCTAGTGAAGACCAAGGCAAAATATCTGTTCAAAGTGTCTGCCAATCTTTATCTTTCATCACTAACTTCCCAGATTCATTTTCTATAGCACAGGCACTTTATCTCATTTCCTTTTTAAACATCTAAAGAATGTTTTCCTTTTTAAAAAATATTTTTGTCTAATTTTCTCTTGTATTCTAACTTTTCCCTCCTTGTGACTTTTAATTTTCTGTTCAATCTTCTGATCCGCCACCTACCTTTGCAGAACCATATGTCTGTTCTTTGAGGTTAATACCATCTCTGACTTTTTTAGTTAACCATGATCCGTCCCTTAGAATTTTTCTTATTTTTTGGAATGTATCTATTCTGCAATTTCAGAAATATCACCTCAAAATGTTTTTCACTGTATCTGTATTGATCTATCCCTTTACTTAAATTGCCAGTTCACTTTTGCTAGTTCTACTTGGATGCCCTTGTCATAACTACCCTAGTTTAGATTAAAAATAATTGTCTTGGAAGCACACTTCACTTGCGTGACCTCTTGCCTTTATCATTCCTCATCTCTATCCAGACTGCTTCAATATCCTGATTTCCTGAATTTTAGTCATCCCTCTCTATTGGGCTAATACCATCTTTAATTAATGAAGCCACTCCTCCAACCTTGCTGAACTTCCTGTTCTTCATAAATTCAATATTCAAGCCTCATCTAGGTTATACTTTCAATTTGTACTACTAGTTCATCTCTTTAGTTTTGAATGCTATATGCATTTAAATACAATGCCTTTGTTTTGTCCTTTTATTATTTTAGTAACACCTAGTCTTATCTGCTGATTTGCTCTTAGATCTCTGTCCTTTCATGTCATTGTCCATTTACTCTTTCCCAAATTACTCCTTTCGCTGTTGCATTTTCCTCATTCACTGATTCACTGTAACCTTCCAAATTTGCACCCTTGCCACTAATTTTTGGGTTAAAACCCACTCTACCTCCTCCACTACGCAATTAGCAAGACCAAATATAATTTATTGATAAATATATTTTTTAAAAAAGTATTGCTACAGGTATATTGCGGTAACCACCTTCAATAGTAAAAATCAATCCATTTGAAAGTAAATGCGATTTTAAAAAATTGTTTCTCATATGACAGACCAAAATATAACTTTTTATATAACTTAACAAAATCATATTACTAGGTAAAATACATGTAACATCATAAAATAAAATAAATATGTACAATAAATAAACTTGAAGACTTGTAGTTTTAAGGCATGCTCACTTCACGCCTAAGTACACCATGATAAAGATTCCGAGTAAACATCGAGCTTGCTGATAGGATGGAGGAGTCAGCTGATGACATCACTGCAGCAGAAACAGCTCCAAGGCCAAAAAATGCAATGTAATTTGGACAAAGGTACCGTAGTATAATAGGCAAAATCATCTGAGTTTCATTTCTGTGCATGGGATCTGGAAGACCATAGTTCGTCTGATTCCAATCTGTAACAAGAACATGAAACAAAAATAACCCTTAGACAGCTAACAAGTGGAATCCCCTGTTTAGTTGTATTCTAGTGCCTGAATTAAAGAAAAGAAAACAAAGTAAATTGAAACTTGCATTACATAATTAGCTATCTATAGAGACTGGATAAATATTGTTTTGGCAGAAAGCAACTTAAAATCGATGACCAACTTGAAGTAATTCCACAGAGACTGGTATCCCGTCGCCTAGTCACCCCTTATTTGCACGTGTAGAGTCCTTGGCACTGATCCAGCTCACTCAGAGCCAACTCTCAGAGTGAACAGGATGTCTGACACTCCTGTGCTTATCTGTCAGCCAGGCCTCCCTGCTTGGACCAGATTAACAGCCCCAGTCAGGGAACTCATATTCTATGAGGTCCACCCAACAGACCTTGTTACAATTGCTACACATATGCTTTGATAATTTTGATGTCTGTAAACGTATCCATATATTTAAATGTCTCACCCTGATTGGATATTAAAGATTTTTCACATGATTTAAAACAGTTTCACATTACCAGTTGATGCTCCTACTGCACCAATGATTACAGCTGGGAGAGCCAGTATTAAACTACTGAAAGCAGCCACAACGGAGAGTATTTGTGCTTGAGTAGCTGTGGAGGCTGAAAGTACCCTTTGAAAATATGCCTGCCAAGGAATTCCTCCTAAAATCTGAAAAAAACAGAAAAAAAACACTTAGACTTAATATACTGCTACATTTACAAGTGGTGGGTCTTTGATACAGAAATATATCCATGAGTGAATATTTATATCCAGAGAAGCAATTTTAAAAGGGAATTATTTTTATCATACATGACTTCAGTGCGTAGTCTTGATTTAAAAACAATTCTGTATGTTTCTTGTTAGATTTGTTGATATGGTTGAATCTTGTTGAAAATTACATTGTCATGTTTTATTGCACAGTTGTCTTTTGTCCCCCAACTACGAACTTAGATCCTTAGCCATTGATTCCATCCATCTCTCTGACCAGTCTGAGGCTTATCAAGACTCTTCGCAACCTTGAAGTCATAGTTAAGTCTGTAACGAGCTTCAAATCATGTACTTGAACCATCTGACCAGTATCACCCAACTTCTTCTATGCCTCAGCTCATCTGCTGATGAAAGCCTCATTTATGCCTTTCAGACTTGACTATTTCAATGCATCCCTGGCTTTTTTTTCCATTTACTCCTCCTCTACAAAACTTTAAATCATTTAAAAATCTGATATCCATGTCTTAACTTACACTAAATATTATTCACCCATCACCTTTCTGCTCACTAAGACATACTTGGCTTTCAGTTAAGCAATGCCTCACTTAAAATGTTTATTCTTGTTTTCAAATTTATCCATGGCCTTGCCACTATCAATGTTTGTAATCTCCTCTAGTCCTAAAACAGTCTGTGCTAACTATATTTCTCAAATTTTGGCCTCTTGCTACATTATTGGTGGTCACAACTTCAAGTACAAAGGTGCTAAAGTCGAGAATTCCTTCACTCAGCCTTGCCTCCTTAACTTCTTTCCTCCTTCCAAATTCTCTTTTATATCCATTTCTTTCATGAACCTTACAATCAGCTGCCTTTATGTCACGCATGTGGCTTAATGTATGAAGTGATTCATTTTGGAAAGTCAAATTTGAATGCAGAATACAGGGTTAATGGCAGGATTCTCGGCAGTGTAGAGGAACAGAGGGATCTTGGGGTCCACGTCCATAGATCCCTCAAAGTTGCTACCCAAGTTGATAGGGTTGTAAAGAAGGCGTATGAAGTGTTGGCTTTCATTGGCAGGTGAATTGAGTTTAAGAGCCGTGAGGTTATGCTGCAGCTCAATAAAACTCTGGTTAGCTTGCACTTGGAATATTATGTTCCGTTCTGGTCACCTCATTATAGGAAAGATGTGGAAGCTTGAGAGAGGGTGCAGAGGAGATCTACCAGGAGGCTGCCTGGACTGGAGGGCAGGTCTTATGAGGAAAGGTTGAGGGAGCCAGGGCTTTTTTCATTGGAACGAAGAAGGATGAGAGGTGACTTGATAGAGGTTTACAAGATGATGAGAGGCATAGATAGAGTGGATAGTCAGGGACTTTTTCCCAGGGCGGAAATGACTATTACGAGGGGGCATAATTTTAAGGTGATTGGAGGAAGGTATAGGGGAGATGTCAGAGGTAGGTTCTTCTCACAGAGAGTGGTGGGCGTGTGGAATGAGCTGCCGGCAGTGGTAGTGGAGTCAGATACTTTAGAGACTTTGAAGCGACTCTTTGGTAGGCACATGGAGGATAGTAAAATGTAGAGTATGCAGGGTAGATCGATCTTAGTAGGATAAATAGGTCAGCACAACATTTTGGGCTGAAGGGCCTGTACTGTTCTATGTCTTGCTGGGTGATATTTATGACAGTAAAGGCAATCTATATACGTAGAATCCCTACAATATGGAAACAGGCCATTCGGCCCAAAAAGTCCACACCACCCCTCCGAAGAGCATGCCACCCAGACCCATTCCCCTACCCCTGTATTTCCCATGTCTAACCCACACATCCCTGGGCACTATGTGACAATTTAGCATGGCCAATCCACCTGCCCTGCACATCTTTGGACTGTGGGAGGAAACCAGAGCCCCCAGAGAAAACCCATGCAGACACAAGGAAAATGTACTAACTCCACAGAGACAGCTGCCCAAGGTTAGAATCGAACCCAGGTCCCTGGTGCTGTGAGGCAGCAGTGCTAACCACTGAGCCACTGTGCCCCCAAAAGTAAAAGGTTTTGTAATTCAACACTGGCTGAGCAGGAGGGTGAACTCTTTTCATTCTAGTCAAAATCTAAACCTTTTATACTTATACAGCATTATAGGCTATTGAACTCATTGCCAATTTTTAAGCTGTGCACATGCCTCCATCTACCTACTTCACCTAACTCATATTAGGATTTATTTTTGTATCTCATGTACTTTGAGTCATAGAGTCATATAGCATGGAAACAGACCCTTTCGTCCAACCAGTCCTCATATCTAGCTTTCCCTTGAATATATTTATGTTTTTTGCCTCAAACATTCTTTGTGGCAGTGAGTTCCACATTTTCATTACTGTTTAGTTGAAGCTAATTTTCTTAAATCCACAATTGGAATTTATTAGCGACTGTCTGATGTTTAAGTCCTTTGGTTTTGTTCATTCCTACAAATGGAAAGATCTTCTTCACATATCACCTGAAAAAGAAACTCATTGGTATTTTAGAGGCCTCTAATAGGTCAGCCCTTGACTGTCTCTTTTTAGAGGCAAGAACCACAACTTGTTTGGTCTTTTCTAATATTTACATATTCTCATCCCATGAATCTCTTTTCCACCTTATCCAGTGTCTCTATACTATTTCTGTAATATAATGCTTTGAATAATGCACAGTATTCCCAGGGTGGTACATGCAGGCCAATTCCTTGCTGTTTGCAGGACTTTCACAGCACAGAACTGGTGCAACCTAACTTACTGACATGTAAATTGAGGTCAGATCCATCTCTGTCAGTTTTCTGAATTAAAGCAGATGTGTTTGAGTCCCCAGTCATTGTTGGACTTTTAAAAAACAACTCATTCTTAGGACAATATACTTCACGCAAGAGGGAGTCAAAGATGGTGCAAGTTTCTATGTGAAGACTTTTAAGAAGACCTATTCTGCACATATTGTCCAGAAATGCACTGCATGATGCCATATTGAGAGCTCCATCATATTTAAAGTTATATGAAAAGAGGATGGTCATTGTGAATTTGCTGTACTTGAGGCATTATCTGGGTCAGAGGTAGAACCCAATTTCATTATGGCTGAGTGAAATCAGTCATTGCAAATGGACTTTTCATGACCACATAGAAATTTTCAGTGCAGATTCACAACAAATACCCAGGATATAGCATTTATTTAACATAAAGTGCTATATTGCACTGAAGGAAATAAAGATAGAATTTCATTTCCAGTGATGCCAGTTACTAATTCTGAAGATTCTTACTGAAGAATCAATGATGGCACTTTAGGGTGATCTCATATCCATGTTCTTTCTCTTAGCTTTTGTGTGAGAATTGGTGTTTGTATTTGTGGACAGTTGCCTTGTCAGATAATATCAATTTGTTATGAACTGTGGTCCCCCATGGTTAACGGCAGGATTGAAGCCTGGTGTACAAAAATGATCAAGAAGTTCATTTCAATTTCACCTTCACTCAAAGAAAAATACTGGGAAATATCTTGCTTCCAACATCTCACTGGACCAACCACTGCTGCAGACTTTCAGACCTTGCCTGTGGGAGAAGCTTCACATATGAACATAAGACCATAAGAGAGAAGAGCAGAATTCAGCCATTCAGTCCATTGAGTCTGCTCCACCATATGATCATGGCTAATATTTTTCTCAACCCCATTCTGCCTTCTCTCCGTAATCCTTGATCTCCTTATTAGTCAAGACCTTATCAGTCTCCGTCTCAAATACACTCAATGACTTAGCCTCGACAGGCTTCTGTGGTAATGAGTTTCACGGATTCACCACTCTTTGGCTGAAGAAATTCCTCCTCATCTCATTTCTAAAGGGTCATCCCTCCATTCCGAGTACACCCTGAATAGAACAGCACCTGGCATTGACATTAGAATATAAAATAAGAATAGGACAAACAGTCCTATAAGCCTGTTTCATCATATAATTGGGTCACAACCGTGATAAGGTATCTTCTGCAGTTCATACAAACTTTGGTTGGATTTCCAATAGTTATGGATGTATATGCACCTGCTCATGCTGGGATCTACCTCTTTCTGTTAGTTTTGAAACAATCAGTTCAAGTGAAGAACTTGTAAGCATGTGCAAACATATGATTTGTATGAAGTATGTTACTGAAGTTCAGGAAACAGCACTTTAACCTGAGGAAAACAAGTTTCATCTATTATAACTCTGATTGATATTGAAAATGTAAGGGATATTTATCTCAGGCATTGAAATAGAGATATATAGCAAGAACTGTTGTGAATAGATGTTCTTTCCAATGTATATGTTTGTGTTCACAGTAGACATCAGTTTATACTCTGGCAATGGATTGTGTGTTTTAGCAGATATGCATCCAAAGAGGAAATGCATGTTCAAAATAATTAATTGAGTTTTTGGTCTGCTTTAATGTTTACTATTGAAAGGTCTGATTTAGTTTATAAGCTAAAGCACAAAAGTCCTAATATCTGACAGCTAGGAGAAAACAAAATGTTTTCATCCATTCAAGAACTATTTACAAAGGTTTTGGTTCAATTGCTGGACAATATCAAATCATGTTTTGTGTTTATAATGTCTGTTCTTGGCCATCTAATTATGCATAGACCAGCTAATGTCTCGGAGTAAAACTTGGCTTCCAACACTGACTTGGAAATATATCACCGTTCCTCACTTTCACTGGGTCAACATCCCAGTTACCTCCCTAACTGCATTGAGGGTTTACCTACAATGCATGAACTGTACCATTGAAGAAGACAGCTCACTCCCACCTTCTCAAGGACAATTAAGGATGAATAATAAATGCTGGCCCAGACAGTGAAGCCCATTTCCCACATGTGAATAAAAAAAATCTTCGAATCCTGTTTGCCGTTGGATCCAAGTCCCTTTCTGCTGAGAATGGGTGGTATGAAATAATCTGGCCAGATTTTGTTAAAAAATCACATTGAGACATCCTTCC